CCTTTCCTCCCTCCCTCCCTCAAGTAACAAACATCAATCTCCCCAATCTCAAGTAACAAACATCCAATTCAAGCCCCAATCGCCACGCTTGAAAGCCACCCAGGAGCTTCTTACTCACTCACTTGCTGACATTGGGCCCGTCATAAGTGGAGTCATTCAGGTAGACCGGCTCTGGAACCAAAGGCATGATCTGACCTAAAGGAGCTGTATAGGACTGAAGACCATCTGTGGAAGGACACAACGTATTCAGAAGCATATTTCCAGCTGGTTACACCATCAGATGCAAGTCTCTGGTGGGTAAAGGTTGATGCATTGCAAAGATATCTCAAGACAAAACTCTGAGAAGCCCAAGCGGGGGTGGATTGAATGTCTATTTGAATCCCCTTCTCTTCCTTTTATCATATAACCATATGCTTTTTTTTTTCCTCCATTGCTTTGGGTCACTAAAATCAATAGCTCAATAAACATGCCGGGGAAACCCAGAATACAAAAATAACTCTTTGGCTTATATTTAATTCATCCACCTGGTCTGTTAAATATAATATTTGATCCATTGGGTGGGATACTGTTTTAAACTTTTAATAAAGTTATATTCTTTTAAAAAATGTACTATTTGATCCATTAAATCCTTTAAAATATACTAAACCATACTTGGGGGAAAAACCCTTCCATGAATGCTCCCCCACCTCAAAGGCCTTGAGTAAATATGAAAATACGTCCAGACACTGATAGTAATAAAACAGGAACATGGTAAGCAATCATTTACTGAGTTATGCTGTTGGTTCAAGGCACTCATCTGTTCTGGTGGAGATAGTCTAGGTAAAGCTTTTCCCCACCATTTGGTACCCAAGCATTGGTCACTAAAGATGCTAGCAACTGAATCTTGGATTTCCTTTTTTGCAAAGCGTGTGCAAAGTTACTGAGTTATCACCTTACCAGATATGTAAGGAGAAATACAACGACTGTACGTTTGTTTTCCATATCTTACAAATCTTGAAACCAGTTCAATGGGTAGACAATTTATCAAATGTTCTGATCCTAAATTCCAGTTGCCATTGGGATTTTGAAGAAGCCCGATTCTGATAATTTTTTTTAAAAATCTATTTGTAATCTGCTCTGTCAAATCTTTTAATGGCATCTGGAGACAGCCAAGGTAAGGAGAGGTTAGTAAGTTTTAGTACAGAATCGTACCGTTAATACCATTCTAACTGAATCAGCAATGTTGCTTTTAGAAACAAATCCAGACCGTTGCTATTTACAAATGTGTTAATAAAGGTGATAACTGAATCACCTGAACAGTAGTGATGTACAGGTGTAGTGTCATTGCTAAAAACGCAAGCAAGGAAATCCTTCATTTCAGAATTATTTCAGCAAGGGGCTGTCTGAGTGTTGTAAAAGCAAAGAACTCTGTCTCAGTTCAAACCATGAACAGGGCAGTTTAATCATGCTTCTCTGTGATGACCAACAAGAATTACATACAGTTTTGTGTATGATTCATACACAACTCAAGCTTGCTTTGAATGCTATATAGTAAGAAGTGACATGCTGGGTGGAGAAATGTGGAATTTTTACATAGTCCCCGGGTTAAGAACGCCCGGTTTAAGGATGGCCCATAGTTAAGAACAGAGCCTATTGTAGCAAAATTCGAGTTAAATACACACTGATTCGAGTTAAATACACAATGGTTCAAATTAATTTCACACTAGTACTTATACAGTATTATACAACAATACCCTTCCCGCTTACCTACAAATTTGATTTAAGGACAGAACTTGGGAACGGAACTTGTTCTTAAACTGGGGACTACCTGTATTCATTTGTTAACTGTTTACTGTACACTTTCTTCATGGAGCATGCTTCCCATTTTATCCTAGCACCTCCATGTAAAAGTGTGAACTGAGTCACAACTTGAACTCCTGGGTCTCTCCAGTCCTAGCTTAGCATTCTAACCAGTATACCCTCCTTCCTCCTTGTATGCATATAAATGAAAGACTGGGTTCACACACAGACCCAGACCTGCAAGGTATGCCAGTCAACAAGCCTTCTTACAGATTCCTATTGTCTCATCAGCAAATAGCCAGGAACAGCAACCCACAGACAATTCTTTCTGAGCTTGGGTTAAGAAGATTTATATGAAAAAGGCAGAGCACAAGAATTCCATTAAGTAACGTTTCTTTCAAATATGGACCCTATATATAGGCCATCTGATGTGGTCAGATTGTGGCTTTTCAGTGTAACAAGGAGAAGGCAGGTTATTTTGCATCTGGATTTCATTTACGTAATGGTTACTAGCCACATCAGTGTGCAAATCCTCCCTTACACAAACCTTGCCCTAATTGATGATATAATTTGTTTCATTTGGGCAGCATGCGGTGATGACCTGGCAATGGGGGGGGGGGACCATGGTTTCTGGATTAGTGCATGATGTGAACCCAGCAAAGTATATTTAAAAAGCCACAGCCAGGCTATCTGCACCCAGCCTGAAAAAGTGCTAAAATACGATGTACTATCAGCGATGCAAACACTGGTTCACCCACCTTTCCAAACACAGCCATATAGTTCCACTCGCAAGCAGACACTCATGATGCGGTCTGCACGGGGGTAGAAGCGGATGTACCGGGCAATGATGGGAGGCCCCAGGTCCTTCAACACCACATCATCAGTATTTTCATTGCCTGAAATCACCTAAGAGAAACGGAGGAGTGAAGAGTGAAATGGAGGGGAAGTTGCACAGGGCTCAACAGGTCAACTGTCAGGTTCAGCCCAAAGAACTCCCCGAGACAGTGCAGTACAGTTCTGTTGCGTTTATTAGCTTCACCTCAATGCAGAAATCTCTCCAGACTGAACCTAAGTTCCCAAGCCAGCAGGCCCAATACCCTGAATTCCTTAGGGTGGTGCCAGTCTCATCTTTTTAAACTTCCCACGCTCCTGTTGAGGGCTAAGGAAACGCTTATCTCCCAGAGCCTGGCCTTCATAACACCATTCCATCACATCAACTTTGCCTAATCTGTTGATTAGACGTAGACGCAGCCTCCACAGAAAGACCTGTCTCTATGTTATCCCACCTCAGAGGAGAAGCTACAAGGCTCCTTACTTACCTCATTGCCCCACCGGTCACGCCAAGGCATCCAGTGGTGCCCATCACGCTTGTAATGGAGCCGATATGCCCGAGCAAATTCCTTGCCATGGCCACTGGCATGGCGTCCCTGCGTCCCCACTAAGGTTAGGAAATGCAGCCGGCGCAGGTCTATCTCCAGGTACTCTGCATCATTGGGATAGACCGGTCCTGCGGGGCACCAAGCTCCATCGCCCTCATTCAGTGCCAACCTGGACAAGAAGGTAGGTGTGAGATGAGCCTTTTTGGAAGCCAATATCGCATAGCCAATTCCTGTTTAGCGTGTGATCAAATATAATTCCAAGATTCTTTTCAGATGTCTGATCCCCAGGCCAGGTAGCTCCCATCCTATACCTCTGCATTTTTCTTTATTTTCCCAAACTTCCATTCTGTTTTCAACCTGCTTGTTGTCCGTCCGTCCGTCCATCCATCCATCCATCCATCCATCCATCCATCCATCCATCCATCCAATTACTAGGCTATGCATGGCTTCACAATGAAAAATCAGAAAAAAAAATATATAAACCCCGCTCACCCTATCCCCTGACTTAAAGGAGGGATACAACTACACAATAACCTAAGACTGGGTAGATTTTTTTAAGCCTCATTTAAAGATGGGTAGGGCAGGCTTTTTTAACATATGCAGCTCATTTTGAATTTTGTTTTAGAGTGTTAGCCATGGGCATCTAGAGAGCAGCGGGAAGGATGACCCAGGCATCATGACATTATTATGCAAATGACGTGACTTCCTACTTGCCCTGGACATCTCGACACAATTTCCGTAATTTCTATAATGACATCTTTTGCCCAATGGCACCATGATGTACAAGTAGCCACATTAACATTCCTGTGGCTTGTTACGGATACTGTTGGTATTAGAGAGCCCACCCAATCTGCAAATCTGATAGATCACTGACAATCAAAAGAAAGCTTTGTTGATTCCTTGTCATTCCAAGGAGCAATCTGGTGAAAGCCACCTTTATAAACTGATGGGCTCAACAGATACTTTAAGCTTCATAAATGAAAACTAATCTGGTCTAGAAACTACATATCAGAAATCATACACTTCTATCCAGTTATTAATTTCTATAAATACAAATAACAGATTTACAATGGCAGGTAAGTAGAGTCATTTTGCAAATCTTCAGTCATCATTCAACTACAGGTATCTTTTACTGGGCACTGATTTAACTTAATTTTTTAAATGTAAATAAATGCCAAGTTCCTAGTCCTTAAAGTATGGAACATTTGAATATGTGTACATACTGAACAGGATTTCGAGCGCTGGGAGGCATGCATAAATAAGCAAATGGAAACTGATTGTATCATGCAAATTAAGCAGTGAATGCCATCCTCACCTGCTGTGTTTTGCAGCGGTCGAATCGGACCATGAGCTCGAGGCTGAGAGAGATTCATCTGGAATGGTACGATCCTGCATGCCAAGGGCATACCGACACTTAGCTGTAAAGGGGAAAACGTGAAAGGGTGAATAATACTCTCTGTAGCGAATGCAGTCCCCAGATACACTCTCATTGGAACCGGGCATGATACTGACTCAACTGTGGCCTAACACAATTAATATGAGCTGGAAGAAAGTCAATAAAACAAATGACACGTGTTGGGTGTGACTCATTCGATGGCTTAGAATGGGGTTTAAAGCCAAGTTAATATGCTTGAGCAAATGCTGGTTACAAAGAACCCTTCCAGAGTCTTAACCTAACATCCTAGCCCTTTTATAAAAAATGCTATAGACGGATTGATTTTTTTAAAAACAAAACTTACCTAGACCTCTTAAGGACAATTTATCTTGAAGGAAGGACCAGAATTGTGTTCCAGATTAGCAATGTTTTATCCAACTAGTTAAAATGTGCAGGTTAATCATTTATGTGTGCTTATTTGCAAGGTTCAGCTAGACACATGTAATTTGTTCAAATAGGATACAAAAATCAAAGGTATCTGTATAGGATGGGGAGGGGGGTGACTGGCTTCATAATGTTACCTGTGAAAAAGATTTCCAAAGAATATTTGATCGCAAACTGCATATGAGTCAGCAGTGTGATGCAGCTTTTTTTTGCAAATATATTTTGGCTGCTTCAGCTGAAATATGCTGTCCAAATCACAGGAAGTAACTGTTCCATTTTATTATGTTTTGGTTACTGTTCACCTCACTATAATGCCCAGTTCTGGCCAATGTTCTTCTAATAAGAATTCAGAGAAACTGAAGCAGGTTCTGAGAAGGTCAACGAAGATAACCAAGGAGCCAGTCCTATGGTGAGACTGAACAAGCAGGCCATATTTAGCCTTGCGAAAAGATGACTGGAAGAGCATGGGGGGAACATGATAGCATTCTTCAAATACCTGAAAATGGCACACAGAAGAAAGTCAAGACCTATCTTCTTGTTCCAGAGGATAGTGTAATACGGTGTTTTCCAACTCTGGCAATTTCCAGATGTGGAAACTTGAACCTCAAATCCCAGAAGTCCACAGTCAGCATAGCGGTTGATGAGAATTCTGGGAGTTGAAGTCCACGCACCTGGAAGTTGCCAAGGTTGGAATGCAATGGATTTAAAACCATGTAAACAGTATAATGGATTTAAATTACAGGTAGACAGATTCCAATTGAGTGTTAGGAAAAAGTTTGACAGTGGAACTGATTACTCAGAGAGATGGTGGGGCCCCCTTTACTAGGTGTGTTCAAAAAGAGGCTAAGCAGCCACCTGTCTGGCATTTTTAACCTGGATTCCCGCCCTGAGCAGGGGGTCAGACGCAGTCACCTAACTGGCTCCTTTCAGTGGCTCTGATTTTCCATTAGAGGGTGCTCTAATTTCATACACGAGAAGAGGAAGGCCATGAACTGAATAAGTTTCAACAGAAACTTGAATCAAAACATAAAAATCCAGAAGACAAACTGATTCAACAAAAACAAGACAAATTGGATTCTTTCAAGACCCCCTCCTGTCCAAAACGCTGGAGGCTTCTTGGAATTCAGGTCCAAAGGTAAATTGTTAGGAAAAGCACCTGAGAAGAAACCACAGAATGACCCTAGAATGAAATTGAAATTGTCTGGTGATAATATTCAGCACAGAGGGAAAAACAATGTTCTGTTGTGAAATATATTACTCATTTATGGAATTTGTTGCCTTCAGAATGTAGAGATGGCCACTGACCTGCATGGCTTTATAGGGAGATCAGACAGTGCTTGTCCAACCTGATGACTGCCCATTAGTCATAATGACTGGGTGGAATTTCTTTGCCCAGAGGCAATAAATGACTGAAGACCAACTCCTTGAGAGCCAACAGTGGAGAAGTGCTAGTGTCTTCAGGCCCGCTTACTTTCTTCCCCAACAGGGACGCTGGACTGCAGAGGGTTCTGTTTCTAATGCTGGGAACAAGGCTCTTGGTGCTTCTCTGCTGTGGTACACATGGGATGCTCTGCCACTACTTGTCAGCCTGAGAAAATAACATCCCCCCCCCCCAAAAAAGCTTGGAGGAATGCGAAACATTCCAGAGAGGACATGATCTGGATCGAGATCAACTGACCACTTGGTTTCCACTTGACTGGCTTTTCTATCAGGCTACAATAACATTGCCCCGTGTGTCCTATGCACCCCAACTGGCACTTCCCCCCCTTTTCTTTTCCTCCTCATAGGACTCAATGGGCTGTAGGTCGGCTTCTAGGAGTGTGCAAAACATTTAATCACGGAACACTCCAAGCAGAAATGGACCGTTTCAAGTCTTCTGGCACTTCCAGAACACTCAGGACAACCTGTTCCAAGGTCAGGCTGTTCCGTGAGGGAACGTTTTGGACATTCCTAGGGTCTCTTATCCAGTCATCGATCCTATCAGTTCTGCTTAGCTTTAGCAAGGACATTGCATTAGTTGTCTTCAGGGATAGCATTCAGAGGAGTTAGCCTTTGAGTTCTCATTTACAGCCGAGAAGCATCCTTCTGAATTCATGAAGGTTCCAATATGGATCCAGAACTGCTCTAAACAGTGCCCATGAATTGTAATCTTTAGTGTAAAACTACACGAGGAACGATCGTATTAACTCTTATTTGATTAGGTAAGTTTAAATATAAATGAAATGAAATCTTTTTGCTCTGGGCACACCTAACCCCAGCAAACTACTCAAAGGCAAGGTGTTGCTTGCAACCTCCTCTCCCCAATTGTGTACTTGTGAATTACAATTAAAAAAACAAGAACAACTTTTTTTTCCTTAGCTATTCTGACAAACATGTGTGTCCAGATATAATTCTTATTAATTTTACTAGTTGAATCTGTCTTGCTCTGTTTAATCTGTGACATTTTTATGATTATTAGATTTCATTCTCATCCATCCTGACTATTTCTCGTGCAGTTAGCTGGGATTGGTGGAATGTACTTATTTATTAGATTTATATTTTGCCTTTCACTCAGGAGCTCAAAGCACCATATAGACCTGTCCCTCCTAGGAGGGAGACTGGGCTGAGGTTCTGCCTTCCAATTTCCCAAATTTGAGAAGTTCATCCTCTCCCTGAACCATGCGATGTTAGTGTGCATCAGAGGCTCTTCTGGTTAATCCGAGCTCTGTGGACTTTGGGGGTTTATTATTCACCCACTTCTTCTACAACAGAGTTGAGTCCTGATGCCAGCCAGCTGTCTCAAGCCACTGCCCTTTTCTCTCTCCGCTTCTGCTTCTCACCTGCATCAAAGTGCTCTTCCAACTCTGATGCTCCCACAGAGATTAACAGCAAAAAATAAAGCGTCCGGGGTCCCATCCTGCCTCCTGCAAGTGGACTGGTTACATCAACAAGTGAAGTTTCATGCCTGTTGAAAAAGTGGAAGAAAGAACCAGTTAACCTTATGTGGGTCTTTCCTACACCACTCAGCTTGATGATTAGATGATTTCAACCTGACTTAACAGCCTTATTCATTTCCTAGTTCAAGCCCTCGATTGGTTCTAATAAATAGCGTACGTTCCACACAAGGAAATCACTCACACGCTGCTATTGTCTTTGTTTTCCTAGATTCCAGCCAGAGGTGACTGGAAGTGACACACCAGCAGCATTATAACACATAATCATCGCGGACAAAGAGAGCGACAGGCCAAATTTGTGGCTCAGCGTACACTTTGCCTCTGGGGAAATCCAGGCTGGAATAAAAGAGCTGGTCATATGATTGTTCAAAAAATAACTTGGCCTTTAAGGTCAAATATTGGTGAAATAAGCTCAAGTAGGGCAAAACAATGATCTTATTTATTAGGAGAGAAGCAGGCAGACTCATGCCAATTGCAGAGCCTCTGCAAGTTGCATTTATGCCTAACACAAGCTCCACTGCCAATCTTAGATGGCGAAATGGCTTGTATTTCATGAAGATCACCCAAAAGCATAAGAAAAGTCTTAATTCTGGATGAACCAAGGACTCAGCCCATCCTGCACTCTGTCTCCTCTCAGATGTTTCAAGTCAGCAGAGAAAGGAAACATCCCTGTTATTTGTCCTGGTTTAATGCCTCTGAATATGGAGGTTCAGTTTACGCGGCACTGTTCGACCACTCCTTTGTTAGTTTGTTTTGTTCATTGTCAAAGGCACCAGAAGTATAAAAAGCAATGGGGGGGGGGGGGGTTAAGCTGCCCAGGTCATCAGAATTACAGCCCAAGTAAGTGTCATCAATTATTACTCCCAACTAAGAATAGAAATACGAACACATGCAATAGATAGGCCAGCTCTTCTCCCTGGCATTCATCCTGGAGTTCCAGGCACATTTTTTTTAGTGATGTCATTCCTCAAATTAAAAACCACGCAAAGCAAGCATAACATGAGGAAGAGCAGAGGAAGAATTATGACTGGTAAGTCAACGTGGAGTTTGTTTATTTTTGGCTCAGTGCAACGTGCAAATCTACTCACAGCAACTTCTAAATGACAATGAAATGTCATTATATTAAGCCCAACCCAAGCAAATCCCATTATACGGCTTCAGGTCCTGCACGAACACAGCCTCCATGCAAAGCTCAGCATTGTTTTGTGAGAAGCGTTTTTGAAAGGGGATGGTTTTAAATCAGGAGAAAGATTCCATGGTTCTTCAGATGACTCCCAGCATGTCTCACCGTCAGCCAGATTGGCTGGGGCTGCTGGAGGTTGGAGTTCCATGATAACGGAAGGGTCACGGCGGCCTGGCTCAGGGAGAGCATTTCCTACATACTGTAGCATGTTCCACTCGAGATTTCCACAGAGCAATGAGTATGTATTATATCTTTATTTACTGCATTTTTATGCTGCCATATTTCCTAAGGACTCTGTGACGTCACACAATTCAAGGTGCTGGTGGTCACTTTTAAAGTCCCACATGGCTCGCAACCTGGATCTCTGCAAGGTCATCTTCTCCCAGCAGATGCTACAGCTTCGGCCCATCCAGGAAGATCCAGGCACGAAGGCTCCCTTCCACCTCCATGATTCTATGAAATGGCAACCAATTCTGAACACTGAATGTAATTTACATTGTCTATGGCAGTGTTGTCCAAACTTGGCCACTTTAAGATGTGTGGACTTCAACTCCCAGAATTCCCC